GTGGGGAGGGGAAGTAGAACTCCTTAGCATCAGAGCTTGTTAATAATAATTTAGGAAATACTAATGCTCTGATGGTCATTTTGAAAAATCCTTTCTTAGTGATCACCTAGAAGCCAAGATGAACATATGTGCCAAATTTCAAGTTTGTAGGTTTTACCGTTCTGGAGATTTTGTGATGATGTGTAAATGGCATTTCACTTTTATATACTTCATATAGATATGGGTGCACATTTGGAAATTATAATTTAAATAAAATGTAATATTTTCCACCTGAGTGGAGAAATTTGTGACAGTGTTATCTCTCTGCGTATGGGTGTGTGCTTAAATCAGGCATCCAGGTGCTCACTGTGATAGGCAATTTCAGAACCACTATTCTATCTAGTTATGGTTCATTATTCTTAAACAAATGTTAGTCTGTGCACTCTATCAAAAAGGATAAGTCCTCAAATGGAGACCAGTCTTCAGATAGCTCTTTATACAGTGCTCTCCTCTTCAAATTAAAACACATGGCTGCTCAATTTCCAGTTCATTCAAGGATATGTTAGGTAACGAAATAATATGTAAAAAGAAATGGGTTTGATTTTAATGCTGACAAGTACTGTTTTGAACTTTGTGATAATCACAGCCCTGTCATTTGAATGTCATGATTGGGGAAAAAATAATTACTGTGATTGACTTTGGTTCCAAGGATTAATGAATGGATATACAGAAAAAATAATTTCACCCTAGTTTTCTAAACCTCCTTGTTATCTGAACTTGTGTATCCTTCCTATTTGTTTTCTCTGACTATAGCCTTGCAGAAGGATAACTCCTCTGAATGGTTTATTATCAGGTGATGTGGGCCAAGGAGGTAAATGAAATATAGACTGTGTGATGTTAGTATGGTTAATTACACTGAGATGGACTGGTACATAAAAAAGTAATCAATACGTCTACATGAAATAAAATAATTCTAGCATGGGAGACAATAGCATAGTTGCTTTATAAAAAGTTCCTTAAAAATAGGCTCATTAAAAGATTATGTGGATCCATGCAATCTGCAGTAGTTTGACATGAAACATATGTTTACCCTAATGGATTTTTTTTCTCCTTAAAGAGAGGAGGAATTTAACATGACCACATTAATCCACCTCAATCACTTTGTGACCAATGTGGTATTCTTCTGAATCAAATTTAGACTGGGTGAAACCAGGCTCAATAGTAGTAACTGTGAGAGAGATCTTGGAGTCTTAGTGGACACCAGCTAAATATGAGCCAGCAGTGTGCAGCAGCCGCCAAAAAAGCTAATGCAATCCTAAGTTGTATTAACAGAGATACAGTCAAGATCAAGGGAAATACTAATACCACTCTATAAAGCTTTAGTAAGACCACACCTAGAGTACTGCATCCAGTTTTGTTCACTACATTATAAAAAAGACGTTGAGACTCTCGAAAAAGTACAGAGAACAGCAATCAGGATGATTAGGGGACTGGCGGCTAAAGCATACAACGGTTGCAGGAACTGGGCTTGGCTAGTCTAGTGAAGAGAAGGACCAGGGGAGACATGATAGCGGTCTTCCAATATTTGAGGGGCTGCCACAGGGAGGAAGGGGTCAAGCTATTTTCTAAAGCACCTGTAGGCCAGACAAGGAATAATGGATGGAAACTGAATAAGGAGAGATTTAACCTGGAAATAAGGAGAAACTTTCTGACAGTGAGAACAATCAACCAATGGAACAGCTTGCCCTTGGAAGTTGTGGGAGCGCCATCACTTGAGACTTTCAAGGAGAGATTGGACTGCCATTTGTCAAAAATGGTGTAGGGTCTCCTGCTTGGTCAGGGGGGTTAGACTAGATGACCTACAAGGTCCCTTCCAACTCTGATTATCTGTTAATCTGTTAAAATTTATCAATTTTGGTATAGAGGTATGTTGATGTTGTCTTATCTGTACACTCAATTTGAAGAGTAGGACTGAGGGATATTGATGTTATCTTAAACATATCTTTAATTGAGGATGTCTTCTTCCATCAGAATTAGCACTGATTGTCAGAAAACCTCACCAATGATGTTACCTAGTTTGGGTAATGAAACTTCTGCAAAAAACAACCAAACTCAGAGAGCACCAAGGACCCCTCATTTCAACCCTGAGTTACAAATACTCTCTTTTTTTGATATCTGTAATTTTGCAGCCAGAAGCTCACCCCATTGAGTGTCTGTGTTTATGTCCCTCTTTTTTTTATTTCCCTGGACTTAGAACACATTGCAGAACATAGAATAATAGAGTTGGAGAGACCTTGGAGTTCTTTTAGATATTTTGGAGCCCTAGAAGACCTTCATAGTTTGCACAGGTATGATGAGATGCCAAATCGCATTTTCCTGTTTTGAATCCAGATTGCTGACTAGGTTTGAAACGTATACAATGATGTATATTTTTAATAATATTGGTACATGAAGACACAATAGGTGGACTTTATTAAACATAGTGAAGAGGTGAACTTACTAAATATTCTGTGCTCAGTTCTCTTCTATTTTTTGTCAGCTGTTGCACTGATATATGCCAGTTGTTTTCAAACATATAATTTAAAATATGTTTAATGATAGGGGAAATTTAACTGCTTCACATTCTGGACCTGAACCCTTTAAAAATCAAGTTCTTTTTTTTCTAATAATGCCCTCTGTTATTTCAAATAACAGCTGTTTGGAATAATCACTAAGGTGGACAGCTACCATATCATTTCATGTATAACAAGAGATTATTAAGAACAAGTTTTGTTTATAAAGATACAACAAAAAACAAACTGAATGTCCTCTTCAACCTTTCTAAGAAATAATAATTTATACCATAGACTGTCTAACTCCTCCTGCTCATATTTCTGATTGTGCAAAATATGTGCTTTTGTTTTCATTCTTAGTATTTAAGACAGTCCAACTTGCTTTTCAGTGTCATGGATGCATTGGAAAAGTCTTTCCTGTATTTGAAGACTTTTTTTCAGGTAAGCTTTATTTCTGTATTTACTATTTGTGTTTATTCCCATTTTCATTGGCACTCAGAATTGTTTTCAAGGAAGAGCATTGCAGAATTAAGCCCAGAGCTCCCTCTGTCTATAATCTTTCCAAGTCTAGCTATCTAGTTTCTAGAAACTAACCAACAGGGCAGAATTTCTTTTCCTGATGGTTTATTGATAATATCATATGCAGATTTATTCTTTATACCTCTTTATAAAGCCTTAGTAAGACCACACTTGGAATATTGCATCCAGTTTTGGTTGCCATGTTATAAAAAATGCAGAGACTCTAGAAAGAGTGCAGAGAAGGGCAGTAAAGATGATTAGGGGACTAGAGACTAAAGCATATGAAGAACAATTGCAGGAATTTGGGTATACACTACAGTATCTAGTTTAATGAGATGAAGGACTAGGAGGATACCAGCATTCAAATATCTAAATGGATGCCACAAAGAAGAGGGGTATCAACCTATCCTCCAAAGCACTTGAAGGCAGGACAAGAAGCAAAGGATGGAGACTAATAATAAAGGAAAGAACCAGCCTAGGACTAAGGATAAATTTCCTCAGTTAGAACAATTAGAACGATTAATAAGTGAAAAAACTTGTGGGTGCTCCAACACTATAGGTATTTAAGAAAAGACTGGAAAACTATTTGTCTGAAATGCTATAGGGTTTCCTGCTTGAGCAGGGGAATAAACTAGAAAACCTTCAATGTTCCTTCCAACTCTGTTATTCTGTCATCAAGATATAGAGTTTGGGATGATACTCAGCTCTATACCTATTTTCATCTTTCTACTAGGAGAAGTAAAGCAACTGCTTGACAGTTTCCTGGAGGCTGTAATGAAATGGATGGCAGTCAGTAAACTGAAACTAAATCCAGATAAGGGAGAAGTACTATGGATAGGCAGTTCTCTGATTGGAGAATTGGGTAAATAGATAAAAGACAAGGTAGTATTCTCATCAAAAAAGCAGATGTGGTTTATTCTTTAGTCAAATCTATAATTTGAGGTAAAATTAATGATCTCAGTGATGAGAAGTCCTATATCCATGTTTGCTGGTGTGGCAGTTATGACTGCATACTGATATCATCTCATTTCGGTAATTCATGTCCAATAAGCTCTCAATTGAGTTTTTACAATGCACTTTATATGGAGTTGTATTTTGGTTGAAAGTTGTGATTTTTGTTACTCTTCACAATAATTTTGCTGTACAAACTAAATGTGAGAGCAGGGGCTCTGGAGGTATAAATAGAACTCTCTTGGGCCCAAAGCAAACCTCTCATTTGCTCCTTCCCAATATTAGTCATCAAGAGTTGATGGTTGAATTTGAGACAGCATACTCATTCTGGTCTTGGTCTTATATATATAAGTAGTTCTTGGGAGCAGAAGAACAGCAGAACAGCAGCCTGGGATGGTCTTTGAAGTGGTGAAGCAGTACCACTACAAGAGCTACTAAATCTGGCTTGCAACAACATGATGATCAATAGATGTCTGGAAAGAGGGTTTCTTTGTACCTGAGGGCCCATATTGCACACAGACCTTCTGCCTGAGACTCTGCCCTATTGCCATTGTGGCAATTGCCTAGGTTTCTCTAGAAGTGTGGTTGTTTCACAGCAAACTATGACCAGAGTTGAGTTGCAAAGGCTTGGCTGGAACCCCTGGCTGTCATCCCTCCCTTGGCTGTGTGTGACTCACTGATCTTCATGGCTGGGGCGGACCGTCAATTTCATATCTAAGCTTGACACGTTGATATATTTTCTATCATGACTTTTGTTAGCCTGAGGCAACTGTGCTTCATACAGTTCTATGAATCAGCATTGCTCAAAATCGCTGGTTTTGTTCCTTTTGCAACTTAATACATTCATACATACAAACAACCTTCACTGCAGTTTTTCTATTTTTCGCAATTTCAGGCATGCTGTCCTTCCTTCTAATTCAAATTTTGCTGTCTATTGTCTCTTGGGGTCCTGTGAGTATGACAGCCATCCTTAGCTTTTCTCCCTACCAGCTGTTCACAATGGAGTCACTTAGCAGCATGATTGAAACCGAAGCCCCAAAACAAGCCTTCACTGTTCCCTCTGGTCAGGACCCAGAGAGAAATGAAATTGAGCCAGTCACAGATGGTGGGAGTCAAGCAAGTTCCCAGATTGTCATAACATCACTGGCAACCTCTTCCTTTAACGGAGCGGATGGAGTGGTAAATAAGAACCTTCCAGAACCAGCAGCCACGACTGCTGAATCCAAACAACAGATGGCTTTCAAGCTGTTCACAGCTGCAAATACAGGACTGGCCTTTCCTGGAAAAGGTGATTCTGGAGATGAGAACAGTGGTAGCACACGTATGCCATTTGCTGGAACTAACAAAGGCATTACATTTGACGGCTACTTAGCTCCTGCCATCTCAGATACACCAAAGGGAAATGGCAGTGACCCAGAGAAGCACTGGTTTTATAAAATTCCAGGAGCAGAAGGACAAAAGAGAGTTCAAGGTTAAAAAAAGAAAAGAAAGCAGGTAATTTTATCACTTTAATGCCTTCGGGTTTTCAAAAACTTTTTTTAAAATGAAAACCATTCATTTATTTCACTAATTAAAAACAACCAGATCAGTATAGTACTGAAAATCCTCCAAATCCAAATTCTCTGGTCAATGAAGTAAAAAGATATTCAGGAATGGTCAATGAACAAATTGTGTCCCTTGCAGTAGGCAAATCACCAGGGTGTAAAATTCTTTTTTTAAAAAAGAATTTTATTAATTTTCAATAAACAAACATACACAAACAAAACAGAAAACATAAAAACATAAAACTTCTTTTTGGAAAGCGGCTTAGTCCCAGGTTACATCTTTTGGTACAGACATAAATCAAGTTCATGCTCACTTTATATACCATTTCTTATCTTATTTACCATTCTATATTTTCTATATGGCTTCTCCCCTCTTTTCATTCTCTTAATTCTATTTTATTTATTTCATCTCAATTTAGATCATTATACTTATATCTTTTGTCCGTTCTGTTTCAATTATCTATTTTTCTTTTCTCATTAACACAATATTTCTCTTGTAATCACTAATTGAAGTATGACGCCTTTATATCTTTCCCCTAAATTTAACACTTAGAATAATATAAAATTTTCATTCTGATTCTGCTTAGCACATTCTAAGCTACATACTACATTTTAAAATAAAAAAATAATAAGTTTATAATATAATTAAAACAATAATCTATAGCAAATTAAACTCTATCATTAATTCTTAAGCATTTTACACATTCCCTTTAATATTTTATTAACTCATACAATGTTCCAGTTTTCTAACATTGTTTCAAATACAAATACAACTATACTGTCTTATGTACTTTTGCAGAATCTCTTTTTTAATTATAATTTTACCCGTTATCTTTGAAAAAAATCCTGTTTCTTTGCACCTTGTTTCAAACCTTTATAACTTCTCTTCCCTTTTTCCCTACCTCTCTTCTCCGAGCTAGACATTTTACCCCCACCGACTCTTGATCTCCACTCTCTTAGTCTCCACTCTCTTCTCTTTTCTGTTGCTTCCTGACATTGTATCGATTTTTCACCTTATTTTTCCCTTTTTTGGTTGTTTTTTTAAGTCTTAAATTCTCCATTCTCTTTCCCCTCTTTCCCTTTTCTTCCCCAGCTAAAGTTGTTTGTTCATTAAAGATGGCTTCTTCTTCTTCATACCAACCTTCTTGTTCTTGTAATTCCTGATAGGTAGAAATCGCCATTTCTAGAAAATGAAAAACAGTTCCAGAAGAGCCCTTCGCTTCTTGTTCCTCTTCTTTTAGCTTTTTAAATTCCATTTTCAATTCTTCAACAGATAATGCCATTGTGAAAGTTTTTTAAACAACCCAAAAGTTTTTAGTCTTTCAAATAGTAATTTCCAAAAGTCCCAAAGTCACCAAGCAATCCAAATAGGCACAAGCTGTTTCATTTAGCACTTTCTTCTTTTTAAACTTTCTCTTCCTGGGGTACAGTTAAATTGTAAAATTCCAAAGTATATCTTTTAGAAGTCTTATAACAATTCAACTCTGATCTTATAAACTACAAGCAGCCTCCTCCAGCAAAGTCTTAATATTAATTCTGTACCTCTCCCTTCCCACTTATGGCAAAAGATTTTTTTTTAATTCCGATGTTCAGAAATCTTTAATGACCCCTTGACTTTAATTTTCAAATTTAATTACCTTGATGCCAAAAAGGGTTTTTCCTATTTCCATCTGCTATTTCCATAGGGAAGGAGAGTGAGAAAAAAAACTTTCCCTTTTAACTTTCTTTCGCTGCTTTTACGATCTTCTTTGGGAACAATGTATCTTTAATGAAATCAAGTTTCCAGGGTGTTTAAATGTTATTTGTTATCCCGGTTCAGCCAGTAACTTTCACTTCAAACTTCCTCCTGCACAATTCTTATCCAGCTGAAGGCTTCTTTGTGGAGGCCATTGCTGACCACCGCTCCACTGCCTTCGGAGAAGGGAGTTAAACAGGCTGAGGAGCGGGGTTGCGATTCCCCTGGACCCCTGCCTGGTTCCTCCCTATCTTCAGCTATCCCTATGGGGTAACTATAGCCTCTAAATCCAATGGGATCGGGGGCACTCCAGTAGCGAGCGTGGCAAAAACAGCGCATGATCACGGATTCCTGCCGCCGCTGAAGCCTTGCAAACTGGACACCAGGGTGCAAAATTCTGAATGTCTACTAATGTCTACTAATCTTTGGGCTACCATTATCCCCTTGTGTTAAGCTCTTTGGTCACATGTCTGACCCACAGCATTGTGGGATAATTCTCGATAATCCGCTACTGCTTTGGTTATATATTGTTTATAACCATATAAAAAGTCCAAACATTCTGTTTACTCCAGGATCTATCTGCAAGCACAGGATCTATCTGCAAGATCTATCTGATTTGGCTTAAAGTAACTATAGTTCGAGGCAATTTAAAGTAAATACATTTTGAATGAAGCCATGGAATTCCTTAGAAGTTTAGCAGGAATAAACTGAGAAGATAAGAAATTGTTCCCTAAAATATACAGCTGTAACAATGTTGGATATTGAGGACAATTATGAGTTCTAACAAAACTGGTCAGTTCTTTGAGTGAATTATTTATGTTCACAATCTCAAACAATCCTTTAAATTTTCAGAATGGCCACACAAGAAATCCTGGGGAGATTATAATGCTATATTTTTTTTAAAAAATAACAGAAATAATATCATAAATGAAATGAAAGCATATCTCCTCCCCAGATTAAATCAAATTTGATTTTGAGAGGCTGGACTATCTACTGTTTGCTGATTTACATACATTGCTCTTGAAATTCAAATGGTGAACTTTGTACGGTATTTAAAACTTTGTAATGAAAGAAGATGAGGTGACCTAGGTAAACTAGCTAGGCTGCATGTTCTTCCCTAAACTGATGCTTTTCGGATGTCATAGATTTCACATTCAAAATTTCCAGTGATTATGGCCAACAGCTGGTGCAATTTATCATACTGAATGGATTCTAACAAAGAAGCATTTTGATGTTTCCATAGGTTCAGAGGTAAAAGCATTCAAAAGGGGTAATGTGAAGGGTATAGAGCCAAATAATCAATGCAATCCAATGCATGGCTGACTTCACATTATCCTCTTTTGCCAATTTATGTTTCAGATTGCTAGCTGCTGTTGGCAGGAGATGGAGAAATACTGGAACATCATTAGAAAAATCTGCTGGGTACTGTGGAGTAATATTCCATATTACTATAACCATGATTTTATTCCCTTTTGGAGTAAAAAGTGTTATGCACAGTGCAGAAAGACAATAAGGAAAAGGAAAGGAAATATCATTAGTCTACTTTTTAGCCACTTTTCAATATTTCCCTCTTTTCTTTTCTGTCCATTTTTGTTTTTATCACATAATGATTTAGAGATCTCTTTTATACCTTAGACTTCTCACTTTTCCTTTTAAAAATCTTATTTCATCAACTCCATCCAACCTTGAGATTCTTAAAAAACTTTTTTATCCTGTCTTTATTATTTTTATAAATAATTCAAGGTGGTGAACTCCTGCCTCTATTTTCCCCGCAATAATTATTCTGTGAATTAGGAAGGGATAGAGGAGGGGCAGGGAGGGAGGGAGAGAGAGGAGGAAAATGAATGACAGGCCCCAAATCACCCAAGTGTCTTTAATGATTAAGGCAGGATTGGAAAAAAACATCTTTTGCTTTCTATACTGGTGCTTTAACCACTAGTTAATTCTCAATATTCTCCTTTTTCCTCTAAACTTATTCAAACATATTGTTTAATCTTCCTAATACAGAATTCAGTAGACTTTCGAATATACCACAAGTAAATCAACATTAGCATCCTTCTAGATTGTATTACACCTTGGTGTTTTCTTAATGTTAGCCATTGATTTTCTCTTTATAAATTAATGTCTCCTCCAAAATATTTTAGGAATGTCACTATTTTCATTATGGTTAAAAGGTTGATAGCTGATATAGTCTCATGATTTCTGTGAAATGGAATAGTTTTGCTCTTTGCTGTGGGAATCCATATGGTAGGATTGGTCTTATCAACAGTGACACTTCTAGATAATTACTTCTGAGAAATTATGCTGTTCCTTTCTCTCCAAAGATGAGAGTGGCATATGCTGTCCAGCCAGTGCTACATATATTGAAGCAGCCTGATGTACTTTATTTGCTTTTTCCATCCTTGATTAAGGTATTTCTTTCAATGTCTTTGATAATGGATGAATACATTCTTATCTTTGGTTCTAGAAATGGCAAGACTAGATGGAAGAAAAGGACAACTACGACATTTGACAGGCATTGGACAAGAGCCTATGGCATAAAGGGGGGATTCCAGTTCCAAATTACTTAGTGGTCAGACAGAAGAACATGTGTCACTTAGTGGTCAGACAGAAGAACATGATTGGTCTAATAATTCTCCTTGTCAAAGAGGTGAGAAAGGAGAGGTTGGGAATCGTGGCCCTAGGGGCTTTCAGGGGCTGAAAGGAGACAAAGGAGAAAAAGGTGAATTGGGTTCAAAAGGTGACCTTGGACTGAAAGGGAATCCTGGAGAGAAAAGAGAAAGAGGTTCTGTGGGTAGGAAAGGAGCAAAAGGCTTAGCAGGGTCATCGGGATTTCAAAGGCCTCCTGGTATCAAAGGAGATCCAGGAAGACAAGGAAAAATGGGTTCTTCTGGAATCCAAGGAATGCCTGGTCTTCAAGGCCAAAAAGGAGAAAAGGGGCAAAAGGGGAACTGCAAAGCAGTTGAACCCATTGCATTTTCAGCTGGTCTTCAGGAAAGGAGAAGTTTCCCACTGCCAGGATCTCCAGTGAGATTTGATAAGGTTTTTCTGAATGAAAATGATGGGTTTCATGCAGATCTGGCAGATTTATAGCCACCACTGGAGGTACTTATTATTTTAGTTATCATCTCAGCATTTCTAGCAAATCACTGAAGGCTGCACTTTTTCATAATGACCAACAAATTCAGCAAATGTCTGGTGTAAGACAGCCCTCACCTAACATTAGTCAGGTCTCTGGGTCAATGTTGGTTCAACTTTCTGAAGATGATGAAATTTGGCTTCAAATTTTGAATGCCTCTCAAAATGGCTTAGTGGCTGATGAAAGTACTGATTCAGTATTTTCAGGGTTTTTGCTATACCCTGATTAATAAAAACAAAGGAAACATAATTATTAATGCAAATACAATATCCATCACTTAAAGTTGGACACAATGTCAGTTTTTATTTAAATCCACAGACTTTGTGTCTCCAGTTGCATTTATTCCTATTCACGATATTGATACTGTACAGTACTATACTAGATTTCTAGTTCTTCAATGTTAAGGATGAATTGTTCAGTTTTTAATTGACAATAGCTTTGTACACATTTTAATGGACAACAGTTTAATAGCCTTTAGTTTTCTGATTAGCCTGTAATCTCTTTGCTTTGAAGATCAAGAAAAGAATCAATGTAGAGGCCAGTTATTTAGACCAGAGCAAAACAAAACAAAACAAAACACCCCAAACCCCCAAGGTTCAAATTTCCAGTTCTCCCTATTTTTCACCAGGCATCCTCAGTCTTGTTGCCATCTCTTAGCCTACTGTTTCTCACAAAAGTGTTGGAAAGATAAAGGAAAAGACCTATGTGTATTTACTATGGGTAAATAGTTATAGTGTGTAAATAAAAAATGAAGATATTGATTTGATTAAGAGTTGAATATGATTAGATGTGATTTTATTGAAAAATTCTAGGAAACAGATTTTTTTCCTTTACTAAAAAAAATCCAAAATATGATTTTTTTTTAATTCCAATACCTTTCAAATTGAATGGGATCATGTAATGTAAGTTATCAAAAGACTGATTAAAGATATTATTAGCACATATGTAATGGATGTAATAATAACTGCAAAAAACATAATGATATAAATGTGTTCCAATCAATTAAATTTGCTGAATTTAAGCTATTGCTTCATTTTTACTTGAAAATTCTTATTAAATAATTCTGGTAGACCAGATCAAGTATTAACTAGTGTGCTGCAGTTGCTTAAAAGGTCAGTGCAATCTTGGGCTATATGAACAGAGTGACAAGACCACAGGAAATGACAGTGTCAGTTTGTGGTGCATTAATCAGGTCCACTTTTCCTTGCTACAATACATTAAGAATGATGAGGAACTGGGAAGAGTGCAGAGAAGAACAACAAATATGACGAGGGGCTTGAAAGCCTAGGAAGATCAGTTAGCTGTTAAGAGAACTATACATATTTAGCCTAAAGAAGAGATAGTGAAGAAGATGATAGCAGTCTTCCAATACCAGAAAAGCAGTAATGGAGGTATAGATTATTATCCACAGTTCCTAAAGGTAGGACAAGAACCCATACTGGGTAGACATTTTACACATAGAGAAACTATTTGTCTGGGATGGTCTGAAGACCCATATCCTAGGCCGGGGATTGAACTAGAAGTCTCTTCAAATCCTATGGTTCTGCGAAAGAAGGCCATTCAAAAAACTATGGTCTTATATCTTTCTGTCTTTAAAATAAAAGCCTCCTTAAATAAGATTGTAGACTTTAAATAAGATTGTGGACTTCAAATAAGATTGTGGACTTTAAATAAGATTGTGGATTTTAAATAAGATTGTGGACTTTTAGGGAAACTCCTAAAGGTATTATGCTTTGATTCATTGTGATTTTTCTTTGAACGATAAAAGTTACTCAAAGGATTTATACAGATTTGGCAAAAAAAAAAACCGAGTAACTGTGAGAAGGACCTTGGAGTCCTACTGGATAATCATTTAAAAAAAAGCCATCAGTGTGCAACAGCAGCCAAAAAAGCCAATACATAAAATCCTTGGTTGTATGTATTACAGGGGCATAGAATCAAAATCACGTGAAGCATTGGTACTGCTTTATAAAGCCTTAATAAGGCCACACTTGGAATATTGCATCCAGTTTTGGTCTTCATATTACAAAAAAGATGTTGAGACTTTGGAAAAAGTGCAAAGAAGAGCAATAAAGATGATTAAGAGTCTGGAGACAAAAACATATGAACAATGGTTGCAGGAATTGGGTATGGCCAGTCTAGAGAAGAGAAAACCTAGGGGAAATATGATAGCAGTATTTGAGAGATTGCCACAAAGAGGTGAGGGTCAGCTTATTTTCCAAAGCACCAGAGGACAAGACATGAAACAGTGGATGGAAACTAATCAGAGAGAGAAGTAACCTGGAAATAAGGAGAAACTTCCTAAAAGTGAGGACAATTAACCAGTGGAACAGCTTGCCTTCAGATGTTGTGGATGCTTCATCACTGGAGAGTTTTAAGAAGAGACTGGATAGTTACTTGTCTGAAATGATATAGGGACTTCTGTTTGAGCAGGGGTTAAGGACTAGAAGACATTGGTCTCTTCCAATTGTATTTTGATTGGACAATAATCTCCGACTCCTGTTAAAAAAATATTTTCTTTTAGTTAAGCATCACACCCAATTTCGTTTTTTAAAAGGAAACTTGTCTATTATACTTCTGTGCCAAACTTTTATCATGGTTAATATGATACTGGCATACTTTTCTGTAGTCCCAGTCATTGGAAGAATGGGCACTAATGGCTGTAGTCTTGGTAGTGAGTGGGTGGTAGGGTTCGGGAAGGGTTGTGTACCCACTGCTTATATAAACCAAAACTAGCTTGAAACTGACTGAATGGATTAAATTCGGTTTCCTGATGCTATGTTAACTATATGCTTTTTCTAGTACAGTTACTGTAGGCCACCGCAGATGCTGAATGAGGATTTGCTTCTGCCCAGGAGCTAGGAGGCACAGTGAAGGAAAATAAAAGTCTCACAATGGCACAATCAGCTCCATTATTGTTTTGATTTGAAATAAATTGCAAAAAAATGGCAATTCAGCCCTCAAAACAATTCAGTGTCATGGTGATGGGTAAATCTGGAACTGATTCCAGAAAAGAGCAAAGAGTTTGTTCTGAAGGACTATATATGAATAAATATGTGTTTGCTGATAAGAGAAAATAAAGTATATTTCTTATTCCATTACTCTAATTATCAAGCCGCCAGATAACGTGCCCCCTAAAAATAAAGTCCAAGGCATCCATCATCCTTTTCAAATCCATTTATTAGGAACACATTAAATTGGCATGGACTTGGTGTAATTCCAACTCTGAACCGGATCTGGAATTACACCCAATAAAAGGAAAAGTTTGAAATTTCCCCCAAGTCAAATCTCCAATCACTTGTCAGTCCAACGGCCCAGTGACTCCAAACTCCAAACTCCTTTGCCCAGCTGCAGGCCTCTTCTCTCTTCCCAACAGGAAAGGAATGCCACCTAGATATAACATTCCCCTCTTATCTTTACACCCTGCTTTCAAGCCTGAAAGTGTTTTTAAATTCAGTTACTACAAACCTAAATGCTAATAGAAAAAGATTACTATAAAATATGGCTACACATATGGGTCAACTCTAATTCTATTCAGGGTCAACACTAATTCTATTCTTATTCATTATTCATTCTTATTATTCATTCTTATTAATTATTAAGAATTCGATGCTTATTCTGTTTTTATCATGTGTAAATGAAGAAAAATAATGAAAACTCTTTAGCAAATATGCTGAAGTAAGTGACCTTCAAAACACAAATTCAGAGAACTAGGGCAGTAAAAATCAGAATAAGGTAAAGATGATCTCAAAACAGTTGGGTCATATCATATACGAATGATTTTTTTATTGTTTTCTATCCAATAGTGTGAAAACAGATTGCCACAAATTTGTGAGAGACAGTATGGTATAGTGATTGGAGAACTGGGTTATGATAATATAGGTGTGTGTTTGACAACAAACAATCCCTGGCTTTCAGTTTAATTGAAACTAATATATTTGTAAAAATATTGTTAGTATTATATAATGAAAACAAAGGGATCACAAACCTATCCCTAAGCTCTGCTGAGGAAACATATAATAAATATATTAAAATGAATTGTTGCAATCCATGACAATGTAATGTAAAGTGTTTAGAATTTCCCTAACTTATGCCATTTCAGGCTCAAGGTGAGTAAATGGATAACATATTTGAATGTTGTCCACCCAGTAAAATAAAATTATGAAAATCTAAATAATGGGCAAAAATAATAGTTCCACTTCAACGTTTTTCTGTAGATTTCTCTGTAGATTGTCTACTTATGCATATCTCAAATGTGGACGAAATGCCCCTGCAAATGCAAATCTGCAAAAAAAATTGCACACCTAATTTATAACTATAGAGGTAAATTTATGTCCTGTATTTAATGTAAAATAGTGGCATTCCAACTGCCTGCAGAGAGCAGTGTTTATTGAAAATACAGTTAATCAAATATAATATTTAAAAACACAAAATATAATTAATTGTATACCTACATTTTGTGTCTGTCTGAAAAAAGATTTTTTTTTAAAAAAACCTGTAATTAGCACTTAAAATAGGGAACTATTTTAGTTTTCATAACTGAGTAATAATTGAGGTAGGCTGTCTACTTCCTAGCAATGGGTATTTTCAGTAAGTTGTCTTGCCTGTGATTGGGGAGGCAATACTGCTGTTTGAAATTGTTATCACTCTAATAACTTGTTTTGTCATGAATTTCTCCAGTTCTCCTTAAAACTGTCTACATTAGTGACCATCACTACATCTGATGCAATAAATTCTATTTGATGTATTTCTGCAGGTTGTTTTGGTTACATTTTTCAGCTTTAAAATGATTATTGTATTTTATATGGCAAAAGTGAATGCATGAATGAATAAATTAATGAAGTTGAGATGACCCAATTCCTACCACTTACTTACCTGCATTATGTCCTTAAGCTGAGTGAGTAGATATGTGCATGTCTTCTCTAAGGTAAATAGGAAACACCTGGATTCATCAACTGTAGTATTTAAAGGGAATAAATAAACAAATGCTACTATACTAAAGTCAAGCCAGATAAATGGTCTTCTTTATCTTGTGAACGGTGGACAAATACACTGCTCAAAAAAATAAAGGGAACACAAAAATAAGACATCCTAGATCTGAATGAATGAAATATTATTATTAAATACTTTGTTCATTACATAGTTAAATGTGCTGACAACAAAATCACACAAAAATTATCAATGGAAATCAAATTTAGCAACCCATGGAGGTCTGGATTTGGAGTTACACTCAAAATCAAAGTGGAAAAAAACACTACAGGCTGATCCATCTTTGATATAATGTCCTTAAAACAAGTCAAAATGAGGCTCAGTAGTGTGTGTGGCCTCCACGTGCCTGTATGACCTCCCTACAATGCCTGGGCATGCTCCTGATGAGGTGGCAGATGGTCTCTTGAGGAATCTCCTCCCACACTTGGACTAAAGCATCCCCCAACTCCTGGACAGTCTGCAGTGCAACGTGGCATTGGTGGATGGAGGGAGACATGATGTCCCAGATGTGCTCAATTGGATTCAGGTCTGGGGAACAGATGGGCCACTCCATAGGATCAATGCCTTTGTCTTGCAGGAACTGCTGACACACTCCAGCCACATGAGGTCTAGCATTGTCTCGAATTAGGAGGTACCCAGGGCCAACCGCACCAGCATATGGTCTCACAAGAGGTCTGAGGATCTCATCTTGGTACCTAATGGCAGTCAGGCTACCTCTGGTGAGCACATGGAGGGCTGTGCGGCCCCCTAAAGAAATGCCACCCCACACCATTACTGACTCACTGCCAAACGGGTCATGCTGGAGAATGTTGCAGGCAGCAGAATGTTCTCCACAGCATCTCCAGACCCTGTCATGTCTGTCACATGTGTTCAGTGTGAACCTGCTTTCATCTGTGAAGAGCACAGGTTGCCAGTGCAAATTTGCCAATCTTGGTGTTCTCTGGCAAATGCCAAACGTCCTGCACGGTGTTGGGCTGGGAGCACAACCCCCACCTGTGGACGTCGGGCTCTCATACCACCCTCATGGAATCTGTTTCTGACTGTTTGAGCAGCCACATGCACATTTGTGGCCCGCTGGAGGTCATTTTGCAGGGCTCTGGCAGTGCTCCTCCTGTCCCTCCTTGCACAAAGGCAGAGGTAGCGGTCCTGATGCTGGGTTGTTGCCCGCCTACAGCCTCCTCCACGTCTCCTGATGTACTGGCCTGTCTCCTGGTAGCGCCTCCATGCTCTGGACACTATGCTGACAGACACAGCAAACCTTCTTGCCACAGCTCGCATTGATGTGCCATCCTGGATGAGCTGCACTACCTGAGCCACTTGTGTGGGTTGTAGACTCCGTCTCATGCTACCACTAGAGTGAAAGCACCGGCAGCATTCAAAAGTGACCAAACCATCAGCCAGAAAGCATAGGAACTGAGAAGTGGTCTGTGGTCACCACCTACAGAACCACTCCTTTATTGGGGATGTCTTGCTAACTGCCTATGCTTTCCACCTGTTGTCTATTCCATTTGCAAAACAGCATGTGAAATTGATTGTCAGTCAGTGTTGCTACCTAAGTGGACAGTTTGATTTCACAGAAGTGTGATTGACTTGGAGTTACATTGTGTTGTTTAAGTGTTCCCTTTATTTTTTTGAGCAGTGTAATTAATTAAGTTTTCAAAAGATCTTAGCAATAAGTCTTGCATTCATTATATGTTTCTATGTAGAGTTGCCTCTCAAAACTGACAATTTCCTTCAAGAGATGGTAGTTAAGGTTCCATTCCATTTTATAAAACTAGTAAGATGGCTCAGTTAAGGTGCTGTAAATCAGATTACATCTCAACATATGGCAGCACCTGGCTGGCATTGTTTGGGAGCAGAAGTTAAGCCAAGTCAAGCCTAGTTAGTACTCATATGACAAGCTACGAGGAAATCCAAGGGGCTACATAAAAATATCCCAGAATAATAAGGCAATGGAAAATCACTATTGTATGTATTGTATGTGTCAAGAAAACAGTAAAGATGTACTCATGAATTAATCAGGAGCTGAATTCAACTTGAAGGGAATTTACTTTGTAAAATTTAGGATTACAGGCATCCATATTCACTCATTCTTGGAAGTTCACTTGGTCATTTCTTTCTCATCAAACTTATGTCATAATGCTGTCATACAGATAAACTTGTGAGGAAAGATGCTGTAGATAGAACACATGAAGGCTTTTGAGGAAAAGCCATCTATAAATCTAACATTTATTAAAAAGAATCACATCACAGTTGCTTAATTGAAATCCACTCATCTTTCAAGTACCTGACTAAAGAAACCTATCACATAACTCAGATCTGTGAAGGGCACTGAATTTACATTTTCTCCAATTTCAGTGTCATACTGTTGACTTTCTGAAAAAGTCACCAATCCCAGTTCTTTTTTCCTTTCTACATTCTCTCATTGGCCATTATTAAAGTAATAAAAGAAACAAAATAACTCACTAGCACTGAAGATTAAGATTGTCTACTGCAATGTACTCTACAGAGTGATTACTCCTGATAAGAATATTCTTAAGGTAGGAGATAATAAGCTTTCTTTTTTTAAAATGATGTCTGTATTTCAAGAAATATTGGGACTTCTGATGTTGCTGTCAGTTGAAGCTAATTCACCAAAGCAATTATACAAAAAGAATTTGAATGACTGCAAAAAGATGACCTACTTTTTCTGGAAAAAGTCAAGATGGAAGTTGTCAGAATGAAGTTAAAAATAAACAAACAACAATCCTGATAATTTTCTTTTGAAAACAAACGCAACATCAGAGTTATTAAATTCACTTTAATATGCATATTAAACCAGAACTAAAAAGAAGATACTGAAGCTAAACAAATATATATATTGTTAATAACAATAACAAAATGTATTTATGAAGTATAGATGCTTAATATTTTAGTTAGAATATTTTGGGCCATTTTGTTCACCAAACACTTCAAGTGCAATGCTGTAAAAGTAATATGGTATTTTATACAGAATGTATCAAGAGGCTGAGGAACATAAATATGAAATGAAAAAATAGAAAATGGATCACTCCAGATATCAATGAGTTAGGAAGATAGGAAGCTGTTTATATCAACACCAGACATCTAACTCACCATTCTTTGCGTTAATTTGCAGCAGTTAACAAACAAGAGACCTTCCAAGTCCTACTTGGACATGCAGAGGAGGTGTCACTAAGGAAAGAAAGCAAAGGGAATAAGCAGAAAGCAAGAATAATTTGTTCAATCTGAATGGAATGCATTCATTACAATTATATATCATTAATTTGAGCAGCTCTTGAATATTAAATCTAAGATTGAAATCTAGAATTTAGTTCCCAATATATAGACTCAGTCACACTTTTCTTTAAGATATGTTCACCCCCTTGACTTATTTGTAAAAATAATAAGGGAATGATACAAACAAATAAATTGTCTGCCTACTTGGTTCTAAAAGAAAATGTGGTCAGAATCCCATATGATTTTGAAATGTGCCAATACCTATTTTTAGATGATAAAACAGTCATTTCTGTTTGTTATGTAGTTCCCATGTTTAGTAAGACATATACATGCTAAGTACCTATAGATATTCATCTGGACATATCTATTGCCATAAATATTCATCTCTAAACATATGATATTATCACATTCATATCAGAAAGTACATGTGGTGAACCACCTTTGATAAATGACATTCTAATATCTCTGGCTTGAAAGAGCTCGCATGCTGGTACATAGACTAGAAGTTAGCTTCACGTTTACAAAATTTTGGATGGAAGCATTAAGGATGAAAATGTATTAAGGATCACAAAATGCTGGAAGCTCAGGTAAATTCTGTAATTGTATAAAATCCAGATAGAGTCTATAATTCTACAGAACGGAGTTTTAAAGTAAAA